AACTTACAATCTGAAAATATATTATGGCTTTAAATAACATGCAAACGGTTGATAAGCCATAAAAAAGACCAATAAATCCATTAAATTTCATTGATGTTTCTTGACGATTACGTTGTTTTCATTTGGTGAAAATGTTTTGACATCTTAATTTCAAAGATCTGAAAATTGACAGATATGCAAGTTATATATAAAATGGAATAAATAGAAAGATAAGAAAAAGTTTTAAAATTATACATAATTTTAGAAAAATTGCGGAAGTTTTTTTTCTTCTGAAAATGTCGATACAAATAAAAAAAAAACAAACTTACAATCATTTCTGAATAAAATCAAAAGAAGATTAATACTACGTTTGTATCATTAATTTTAATTGTCAACTGATGGCAGTAAGTGAATTGGGTTGGACAAGATTGATGACTTGGTATTGTGTCATAGAAAATACATGAAAATTATTCGTTTAAGCAATAATAATATAGGGTGCTGGTGCTTCTTTTGTCTGCCGCATTCCTTCAGCGCGTAGGCGATCATGAGTCTCCACAACTTCCTATCCTTTCTAGCTCTTAGTAAGGTTTGTCTTTTCATCATCACACCCATTCATTTTCACAAGCTAGTTAGGTAGATCCTACCACTCTTGACCTTTACCACTGGGACCTACCATGCCACGTCCACAAGAGTAAATCATCCCAATTCTTTTCGTATTCAAATCGTAAGTGAGTAAGTTCTATTCGGACAGCTTCTTTCCAAGAATCTGTTCGAATAGAAAGTCTGCTCCGGAATGTGGAGCAGACTACCGTCATCATGTTTTCCCAGTCAGTTCAATAACCCCGATGAACATCACTTCCTGATTTTATGTTCATACAACATCACACAGTAACACTCTGCCTTGAGTGGCTCTTCGATTTTTTATTGGGTGCAATTTAGTATAAAAGTTAAACAACGTTTCCCTCTTTTTTTGAGTGTCAAATTCTCCAATCTCTCTTTCCTCGGTTGTCATAGAAATTTCAACTGTTTCTTGATTTATGAATGAGCGTCTTTCTTATGTCGCCTTTCTTAAAACTTCCCAGTTGCTCAAATGTCGAGTCCGTGGTATTCTTAGCATCCTTTGTAGAAACCGTATTTCTATTGCCTCAAGTATTTCCTTAATCTGTGAGGAGATTGTTCAGCATTCACTGCGATAGCGCTAATAGAGCTTGTCTATTTTCATGTTTTAAGAAACCAACAGTTTGGTTGAAAAGGGCAGAGAAAGAAGGCAAGGAAATGAATTTGTCACCACAACAAAATGTCATTTCATCTTAATCCATTTTTGCATCAACTGTGGGTGGCCGTAGCCTCCACGTGCCGCTAATGTCTGTCTGGGATTACATATTCCCGTAAACTTTTTACTGTTGTTCGAGTAAGCCCTGGAGTAGATGCTACCTAAAATTTGGTTACAAATTTGGTTCATGATTAAACGGCATGAAATCTGTTTCCGAATCTCATGGCTGTAGTAGCTACACTGCCTCTTTACCTTTTGAATCGATTTTTACAAGTGGAGGAAAGGGAAATAATTCCGCACATTGCTGTCTCTAATTTGTAGCTACTCGATTTTATGTATGCAGCAAAATAGATCTACATATACACGACGTGCTACTAAAACTTTCAGAGAATTCTAATGAAAGAAATATTTGTCCAAACGCTTAATTCCAATTGTCTAATCCATAGTAACCGCTTTTATTTGCTGTCTGAAGATTTTCTCATAAAGAGCTGCGGGAAAAGTCAGTACACAAAGGCTGTTAAAATTCCTCAGATGTTGTGGGTAGAACGTCAGATGTTGACATTTACTTAGCTTTGCTTAATCAGGCACATCTATATGATAACGGTGAATAACAGACACTAACTGATCGTATGTTAGATTCAAGTGAGGATGTAGGTCGTTGTTATCTACAATGACGTCTCCAATTCCTCATCATTGGCCTGAGGTTTCTGGTATTAGAGCTTTTTGTGACGCGTTGTGGCTAATGGCTTCCCAGTCCAAAGAGACAGCGTTTTCCACATATAGGACATAGAAACAGAGAAGCCTGCGCAGAAGAAAAGATTAGAGGGGGGTGGTGGAGGAGATGCAGACCAATAATATTGACCTGAAAACTAGTCATGTTCTTAAACGCCTTCGTCAGACAGACTTTCAGGTGGATATCAAACATGGAGTCGAACTCGTTCAAAGATGTCTTAACTATCATCAATATACTACTTTTTATCAGATCAATGATTAAAAATGGCTTCAAATAAATTCTATGAATTTTAAAAATACACAACAGTTCTTAACATCTTTAAGAAAAACGCCAAATATCAAAAACCTCATTACTTTAACACTTTTCACAACGGCAACAACAAAAATCGATTGGTTTTTCACCGTTACTCCTCCTACCTCTCTTGCTATCCATTTATCCAAGATTGTTAGGTACGTTGATCATGACTCTCCACAACTTCCTGGCCTTTGTAGCACTTAGCAATGTTTGTCTTTTTAGTAATCTTACAACTCCCTGTCCTGCTATACATTTACACAAGCTTGTTAGGTAACTCCCATCACCCTGACCCTATATAACTAGAGGAGAAAATAATAGAATCAAACTGTTATCTTTCCACCCTACCTTAAACAAAAGGTTTGGAAGGAAACTACCAGGAATGCTAGAAGATATAATGATTTCGGGAAGTTGAATTTCCTGGACAATTGTTTCAAGAGAAAAATTTATAAATTTCAACTGTATGGTTAATGAATATCAATTATTTTTGGTATAGAAACGACTTTTTTTTGTAAGCTGTTGTATTGGAAAAGATTTCAGACTGTCTATAATAGCATTCTAATTTTCAGCATTTTTGGTGAACTATCGTCCGACGATGTGAACCTTCCTCTTAATAATGTTCTTCTAGTTTTCAGTTGACCTATGGTTGAGTGAACAAGATAACCAATTTATGAAACGACTGTCTTTGTCATTCCTTCTATTCATTAGGTTTCTTGAACTCACCATAAGGCCCACTACTTCATTGCCTATAATTCCACTCCAAAACTGGAGCGTGGAGAATTCATGCGTTTCCCAAAGTGAACAGAACAGACTCGGCGAGATTTTATTTTCTTTTTTTTTTTTTTAAATCGGAACGCAGATTTTACTTTTCACACCGATAGCCGTTACACTGCCTTGAAATCATTCATTGATTTTTTTTCCATGTCTTATTTATTTTACAAATTTAAAAACTATTTCGAAACAAATTTCATTTAATCACTATTATTACACAGAAGTCTATTATGCGGACGCGTATGTCAATGTTAGACGAAAACCCCACGAATATTAAAATTAAAGAAGTGACACAGGCCAAGGCAAAGATAACTAGAACAAGAAGTTTAAATAAAATTTGCCAAAATTTGTTATTGGCAGAAAAATCCAATCGAAGAATCCAGATGTTTAAAATGCTCTGGGTGGTCGTGCTGGTAGTTAAATGTTGGTCTTAGATGCGTCGACAGTTGATGATGACTGGAGAAAATTGAGTGGTGCCGAAGGTTGATATGCATTTGGTGTATTGGTTTAGTCCTAGCTGGCAGTCGTAGTCCAGGGAAAACGGTTGTTGGTAACTAGAAGATGAAGACGAAACCGCTTGAGATGTATCGAAGGACAATAGCAAGTCATTGGGTTCCTCTCTGCTCAAGGCAGAGAGTTCGACAGTTGAACAGGCTATGACACTGTTCAACTGTTCCCTGTTAATATTAACAGCCCCCCACCACCACCACGAGAGATGTATGTGTCACAAGGATGAGTTTACCGTGGGTTCTCCGAGCCCGTAGGCTCGGCCAAAAATATTCCCTTAGAATCCGTATAAACGGGTTCAGGGACTGACTACCTCCCCGGATGAAACTTTGCGATTTGGCAAAGCTTCGTCCGGGTTCCTCTCTGCTCAAGGTAGAGAGTTCGACAGTTGAACAAGATATGGTACGGTTCAACTGTTCACTGTTCACTGTTATATTTAACGCCACCCCCCCCGCGTGGGTTGTATGTGGCACAAAGCCGGTTTATTGTGGGTTCTCCGAGCCCGTAGGCTCGGCCAAAAATATTCCCTTCGAACCCGTATAAACGGGTTCAGGGCCTGTCTACCTTCCCGGACGAAACTTTACCTTTCGGCAAAGCTTTGTCCGGGTTTTTCTCCGCCTCGGCGGAGAGTTTGACAGCAATGAACGGTTTGGCACCGTTCAACTGTTTACGGTTCCCCCAAAGCCTTCTGTCCTACTAATCTTATAGTAAGTGGAAGAGTCTAAAATAGACTCTTTAGAGGGAGGACACCACAACATAAAAATTGATATCGTACAAAACAAATTCGTCGCAAAAATCACGTAAAAAAAGTAACCGAAAACAATCGCAATAATGAAAACTTGAGAATCCAAAATTTCATGATTGCGTGTCCAGATCCGGTCTGGAATATTTTTTAACATTGTTACGGAGTCGCCCTGATTCCAAAATGATAGATTGGTCTACAGCATTTCGGAGTAAAGTTGAAAAAGTGTGACACACTGACACTCGTATTTATTCATGAAGTAAGCGACATTTGATTAAATCAGTGAAATTTCTCGCTTCTTTTAACATTGGCTGCGTGTATATTTTCTTCTTGGACTGCGAATTACGTCCAAAGATGCCGACGAATGATTTTGCTTGCATTTTCATTGATCTATAAAAAAAGTACATGATTATATTTACTCGTCAGTATTCACTATATTAATTCAAATTATTAATTATAAAATGTAGATAACTTAATTATTCACTATTTTACCGACAGTTCACCAAAGCCTAAGGGCCACACAAGCTAGAGAGTTAATGAGGGAGATGGTAAGGAAGCGAGGAGTAAGAGAGTATTATGAGGTCAAATAGATATTGATTGACCCTGGTCTTCATGAGACCAAGATTGTAGTTTTTCAAAAAAAAAAAAAAAATTACTGTCATAATATTTAAAAAGTAAAGATTAGTTTTTATCTTCTTCTCAAGGTTTCCGTTTCTTGCATAATTTACTTTCTTCTTTTCTTTCTTTCCTTCTTTCTATTTTTCGTTTTCTTTATTTTTTCTCCACTTTTTGCTAAGATTTCCTTCTATTTTCCGTCTTTTAAAATTTCATTTTTTTATTCTGCTTTTTCTTACCGTTTCCTCTTCCACTTCCTCACATTGTCTTACTTTGCTTCATTTTCCCAAAATGACAATCTATCTCTTTTTGCGTTTTTTCTGTGAATTCCTCATTTTTTGCCCATTCTTTTTTTGCCATTTTTGCTCAGAACTCCTTCGTTTATTCTTTTCATTTCTTTTCTTCCTCTTTCTTTCTTTCTTTCTTTCTATTTTCTCCCTCTTTTTTCTTTCTTTCTTTTCTATTTTCTTCCACTTTCTTTCTTTCTTTCTTTCTTCTTTTCTTTCTTTTCTATTTTTTCCTCTTTCTTTCTTCTTTTCTTTCTTTTCTATTTTTTTTCTTTCTTTCTTTCTTTCTTTCTTTCTTTTCTATTTTCTTCCTCTTTCTTTCTTTCTTTCTTTCTTTCTTTCCTATTTTCTTCCTCTTTCTTTCTTTCTTTCTTTCTTACTTTCTTTTCTATTTTCTTCCTCTTTCTTTCTTTTCCATTTTCGTCCACTTTTTTCTTTTCACTTCCTTTCATAAATATTTACTTCTTTCTTTGCTCTTTCATTCTTCTCTTATTGCCCCCCCCAGGATGCTCCTTTTTCATTATTTTTGACATCCATTTATTTTATTCCCAAATATTTTCTATCACATCCTATTTTTCTTTCTTTTTGACTTATTATTCTTATTTCTTCCTTTGCTCTCATTATTGTCTAATTCTTCCAATACGTCTCTCCTTCCCACAAATTTATCTTTTTTCCTCGTCCACACTTTCTTCATATGTCATTGCATCATTTATTTATTTTCTGATCTCAATTTGATTCCACATTTCTTTATATTTTTCTTCTTAAGACTTATTTATTTTCACTTCGAAATTCTTTCTGCGAAATTCTCTAAAGTCAAGCCCAATTTTCATTTCCACTCAGAAAACTAGAAAACATTTAAGAAGTGATGCTTGCAAACGCAGGCAGAAATCAAATACAGTGTCAATCATCGAACTTCACGCTCTCTTAACTTGATGTCTGCCATCTTTAATTACCACAACGAAGCCCAACGTTTCAGTTCGTTTGGTTTTTAATTAATATCTTAACACTGAAATTTCAAAACTGTCACTGATAAAAAATCAACCACACAAGTTTAGTGATGTTGTTGGTCATGTCTATTCTTCAAATGATTGCAGAATATTTTTCTAGGTGTTTGCAAAATTTCACCGTTTTCTCTTTTTTTAAAAAAAAAAAATCTAAGGGAAGAGAAAAGAAATTCGGTTTTCATTCATTGATAAAAAACGTGTTAAAAGGGTAATGATCACAATGCTCATGCGTTATAAGACATTCTTTTCAGTCTGCTACTGAAGAAGAAGAAGAAATAATAATAATAATAATAATAATAATAATAATAATAATAATAATAAATTGTTCTGACAAGTACAGGCTTTGTCTATGTAATTCTTTTTTTTTCAAAGTGGAAAGTGTCATGATGCCATTTCTAACCTTAGGTCCCTGGGCGGGACCCGGAAAAAATGTGTAAATGCCAAAAATCAAAGATAATAATAATAATAATAATAATAATAATAATAATAATAATAATAATAATAATAATAATAATAATAACATGTAACCTGATCTAGAAAAAAAAAAAAAAAAAAAAATTAACAAAAACAGGACCTGCCTTAGGTCTTTCCGCAGACTTGGTAGGTACTTAGAAATCGAATGATGATGAATCCTGAATCCTAGAAACTCAAAAACAGGATGTGCTTTCTTATTTACATGACAGTCCCTGAAGATTGGGATGTATCTTTGATGATCTTAAAAAGACTTTCAAAATATGATGATCTTGAAGTGGAAATCTGACATCAATAATTCCAGTTGTCGTTGGAGGTCTTGGATTGATTGGAAAAGGTTCCGATAGACTTATTGAAAGGATTCTTGGTAGTCCATGTCTTACAGAAATACAAAAATTGTACTCACAACTACAACTTTATTCATGTAAAATGTGAGTAACCTTAGCTTTGGGGGGGGAGGGGAGTGGAGAGGGGTTTACAAAAATGATCAGTGGAAAATGTCATAAAGCCATTTCTGACCTTAGATCTCTGGTTGTGACCCGGAAGAAAATGCCTGTACAGCAAAAATCAAAGGAAATAATAATAATAATAATAATAATAATAATAATAATAATAATAATGATAATAATAATAATAACTCAGCTTGAAGTAGTACGTGCTGTGAATGGTTTGAGAAGTTTCAAGAAAGGATAAACCACGCAGCGGTAGACCATATAAAAATGGAAGGGATGGAATTTGGCCCTATTGAGGGGTGTCAGAAATACATACAACTGTATGACGACACTCGTTCACATTGATTGCTGCCAACCGTAATTTAGGTGCGGAAACGTTCATCACGTGACATATTTATCACAATTGACATCTGTGGATCATCATTTGTTTCGATCTTTGTAACGTTCCTTATTTGGTCAAAAGTTTAAAAAAAGACTTCGGTGTTCAAAATTTTATTGACAATATCTTGCATCGGAGCCAAAGTTGTTTTTTGCTTTTTTTTTTTTATGAAGACTGAATTTTAAAAGAAAACAAAACAAAAAACTTCTGGAGCGTTGATATGAGTCGATAAAAAAAAATGATTTTAATCAGTTTTATATGTTAGGGTAAGCTAATTTCCTTCCCCTATAAAGGACGATAACTAAAAATACAACTGAGTTACTTCCCTTGTCTTTCAAGACTAGCGCAGCGCTTCTGAATTGAACATGGCGTCAAGCTGCTATCCACGTGGAATTCATTGTTTCAATCCATTCAATCCTTGCAGTTCTAAGACAGTGGATGAATAAAAGTTGTTTTATTATGTGTTAAAATACGCTTGTCTTTTATTTTCATTCGTTTTTGTTCATCCCATCACCCTGGGACATACTAATACTTTTTAAGTTATTATTAATTTTAATATAAGAACAAATTGTAAATTTTTGCACACATCTAATGTTTCAATGCTTAAATATTAAATGTATATTTATATATGTAGTATCCAGTTAGCGTAGATGTCATTTCAGTATTGCCCACGAGACTTTCATTGTTAGTCACTTAGTCAAATAGAGACTAAGAAGACTGAGGAGTACGATGTGTGGATTGAAGTCTAGCGAGATGCTACTAAACTATATAGCAAGGGACTATGTATCTATTTGTCTCTCTTTCTGTCTTTGTGGTTATCTTTCTTTCTGTCTATTTGCGTATGTATTTATCTATCTGTCGGCCTGTGTCATTGTTTATCTATCTATCTTTGTCAGTATGTCTACCTGTATCACTATATATATATATATATATATATATATATATATATATATATATATATATATTTTTGTCTATCTATATGTCTCTCTGCCTCTCTATCTGTCAGTCACTATGGGTCTGACTCGAAACTGACATAATTACTTATGTTTTGTATTTTCTCTATATATCTTTCTCTGTTGATTATATAAATAATTTCTTACTTATCGCGTAGTCACGCTCACTATGTCTCTTTGCCTTTCCCATTTGCATCATGGCTTTCGGCACCCGCCGTTCGTATACAATTTCTAAAAGTTTTACCGGTGAGCATCCCTCTAGATATAAGCATTACACGATATTCCCAATAACTGTCAGTATATTTGCGTTCTTAGGATATTTGAGAAGCCGAGTGATCTTCTTCAGTTGCAGAGAAAATAGATGCATTCTTTTTATAAAGGTTAAACGAATAGTCTGTCTGTTTTTCACATATTGTCTTAGAACTCATTACGGCTCAGTCTCTAGTGGCCTGGAGAATTTCAGCGAATACTTTATCAGTGAATCAACCTTTTCTTTCTTTCTTTCATTTCAGTTTTCTTTCTTGATTCAGTGATTTCTTTCACTTTTCTTTTTTCTTCCTTCCTTTCTCTCTCTCTTTCTTTCTTAACTATGTCTTTCTCACTTTCTCACTTTTTTCTATAAATCTTTCTTTCCTTTTTCTCTCTTTTTCCATTTATCTTTCTTGATTTCTTTCTTTTCACTTTTTTCCTTAAATCTTTGTTTCATTCTGTCTGTCTTTCTTCCATTTTCCATGAATCTTTCTTTCTTTATTGCTTCTTACATTTCTTTCTTTCTTTCTTTCTTTCTTTCTTTCTTTCTTTCTTTCTTTCTTTCCTTCTTTTCACTTTCTTCCATAAATCTTTCCTTATTTCTTTACGCTTTCTTTCTTTCTTCGCTTACTGACCCCTACGGTGCACTTTTTCAATTTTCCTAGGTTTAAACCAATGTTTATTTTTAATCCCAAATATTTCTATAACATTTTTTTCTTATTCCGTTTTCAGTTTCTCTCCTTCATTTATTCTTTGCTCCGCGTTTTTATTCCTTATTTTGTTCTCATTATTATCGAATTCCTTCTCCAAATTTATCTTTTTTTACTCGTTCTTCATATAGCGTTGCGTCATTTATTTATTTTCTTATCTCGATTTGATTCCATATTTCTTTACATTTTCCTTCTTAAAACTTATTTACTGCGAAATAAAGTCAACTTTCTTCTCTTCTTAGAAAACTTTTTGAGTGTTCTCTATGCGGAATACTTGGCAGTGAAACAAGCTTTTCGAACCAATGCTTGTATTCCATGCCAATAATTCTTACCTTTGTGCTGTCCAGAAAAAAAATCCCTGGATGGAATAAGATACAACTCTGGTCACACTTCTGAAAGATAAAAGTTCGATGATGCGAAGCCCAAGGTCATGAGTTCAAACACGCTTATTGCTGTACGTGAGCTAGTGTTATAGACTTTGCCCCAGGAAATGCTACATTTCATAGAGAAGCATTGACGTGAGTCTAATTGCGTGTCGGCTCTACTAGTTCATAACGAAAAAGAATATATATATATATATATATATATATATATATATATGGTGCGATGGATAAATTGTTATCTAAATTACGCAAAAATTAAAATACCACTGACATCTCATTTTAACAGATATATTTTCCTAATTTACACAAAAATATCTTGAAATATTAGAGAATAAATTTATTCAATAAAATCGCCATTGGCTCCAACCACAACCTCCAACTTCGGAATCTCCTGCAACTCTTCTGGACGGGTTATTTTTTTAGATGGTAAATACTGCCATAATGCTTGCCTTCAGTTCATCTTTAGTGTTACAAAGAGTTTTTTTTGTCTATCGCTCAACTTCACCCCAAACATAATAATCTGGTAGTTAGGTAACCAGGTGTAACGGGTGATGTGGTCTCAGAAATTGTCTGACAAACCTGACTGGGTTCTCCTGTTTGTGTGGTATGGTGCAGAGGCCTCTTGCCAGACATAGGGCCTTCCAGCAGCCACCCTCTCGATTCAGGGCAGCACTACCTCCTCAAGACACTTGATGTAGGCCTCTGTGTTGAGTCTGAGGCTCTGTGGGAAGATGAATGGAGGTATAAAGTCGACATCACTAGTGATCACTCCCAAAACATTCGTAATCACCATTAGACTCATCCAACTCTTTCCGACTCCCCTGCACTGTCCTCAGACTGACACCCAAATACACTGAAATGTTTGTATTGGAGCCTTCGATGTGAATGCCAAGCAGTACAGTATGCCGTTTTCAAATTCCTAGAAGAGTGAATGGCGTCATGGTGTTTTTTTTTTCTCACAGACGGTGTCCAACTTGAACTTACTGTGCAGCCGATAAAATAAAAACAACACGCAAGTGCAAAATTAAAAATATAAAATTTACCAATTGCACCTTTTTGTGTGTATATATATATATATATATATATATATATATATATATATATATACCCAGCAAAACAATTTCTTAGAACGTGTTAATTTACTGTTGCGTGCTTTCGAGACTGTAAAACCATAACCCTAACCCTTCACCTGAATAAACCAGGGTCGACCTCTCGCTGCAAAGGTACTACCATTGAAGATGCACCCTATACACCACAAAGCCAGAAAAAATATTTATCACAATTGCTAGTTGAAAGAATTAAGCACGACTTCTAAATTATTTTGAAATGAGAAACCAGTACGATCAAGATTTGAACTTGGGTTGTCAATTCCATTTTCCGAGCTTAATAACCGTTACATCTCTCCTTACCTCTCTGAAAATAAGCGCGCTATTACGCCATTTGATCTAGAAATAGATAAAAGATCAACTCTATGAAAATAAATAATACGATACTACTTATCGACATATAAATCTCTACACGCTATCAAAACAAACAAGCAAAAACAACGCATTCTCTACTTGACAACGCATGGGAGGGGAACAAGTGCATGCTAGGTGTGGCTCCGTGCTGAATCTGCATATAATTTCGAAGCCCAGTAAATACAGGACCTCAAAAATGACATACAGCTTAAGAATTGATATCGTACACTACGTAGTGCTGTGCGATACAAGCTTTGTCCATGAAGTATTTTTGATTATGGCTCGTGTATTAAATCAACGGTGCTATTTTAAAAAAGGGGTTATTCACTCGATTTTAGTAATTTACTAAGTCCGAAAGTAGGCAGCACCAGGTTAGGCTCGAACTCACTACTCAGTTTAACTTGGCTAACAGTCTAACTCTCTGCCTTCGGGAGGAGCGGAACTCGGACGAGGCTCTGCCGAAGGGCAGTGTCTTGTTCGGGGTGGTTGACTGCCCCTGAATTCGTTTATGCGGGTTCAAAGAGGGAATATTTTTGGCTCAGAGATCCCACGTTAAACCCGGCCTTGTGTCACATGTAACCCTTGTGGGGGGGTAGCTAAATATCACTCACTACTCAGTTGAAAGTGATCTAGCGAATCAAGCTTACTAATCATTACACTACGTCGAAGTGTCCAGTCATCTCAATTCCCCCCATCATTCTCTTTCTTTTATTATTTTCTCCACTCCTTTTTTCTTTTCCTCTTCCCTTTCTTTCTCTTTTTCCTTTCTGTCTTTCTTTCTTTTATTCGCTTTCTCGCGTTCATTCCCATTTTTTTATTATCTCCATCGATCTTTTTCTCATTCTGCTAACCTCTCTTAATCTTTCGTTCTAACGCTTCCTTTCTCTCTTTCACTCACTCACTTTTACTGTTTTTCTATCTTCCTCTCTTTCCCAACCACCCCTCCTCTCTCAATCCTTCATTCATTCGTTTTCTCTCTACATTTTCTTTTTTTCTCCATCCATCTCTTTCTTATTCCTTTCTCTTATTCTTTATTTCTCCCACTTTTTCTCTTCCCAATTCATTTCGTTTCTTTCACGGTTGCTGTCCCTCATCTTTCTCGCTCTCGTCCACTCTCTTATTGTTTCTTTCGTCTGTTTTTTTTCCTCTTTTTTTTTCTCTCTATCCTTTAGTCTTTTTCTTTCTCTTTTTTACGTTCATCTTCCTTTTCAATCTTTCTCTCTCCCTCTCTTCCTATTCCCTATCTTTTTCTTTCGCTTTCTCTCCTGTACTATTTTTCCTTCTCTTTTTCTCCTTCCATTTCTTTTTTGCTCTTTTTCAATCGCTTATTCTCAGTTTCTTTCTTTCTTTCTTTCTTTCTTTCTTTCTTTCTTTCTTTCTTTCTTTCTTTCACTGTCTATGTTCTTTGTTTCAGACGATAGCTTATTCACTTTTATGATTCCATTTTTCCTTCCTTCCTTCCATTTTTTATCGTTGTTCTAACTTATTTATTCTTTTTACCAAATCTTGCTCAATATACCTTTCTTTCTTTCTTTCTTTCTTTCTTTCTTTCTTTCTTTCATCGTCTGTGTTCTTTACTATTTTTCCTTCTTTCTTTTTCTCCTTCCATTTCTTTTTTGCTCTTTTTCAGTCGTTTATTCTTCAGTTCCAATTTGGCGAGAACTTTCTCTCCCTCAATTTCATTCATTTTCCCTGTTCTGTCCGTATTATCACGGTGCAAATTCTGACACCCACTTGTCTTGACCGTTCTAAATATTTAATAAAGAATCATTGATTATTATCGATCTGTGAAGCAAAGCCCAGAGACATTTATAAGACAAGAGATCAAACAAGGAAATGCGTTAAATATTTGTCTAACACTAAAACACCAAACATGGAGGTGATCTTTAAAATTAGACCTTTAAAATGAATTGACTCTTCATTATATTTTTCATAACGTATGATCCTTCAAGCAACAAGATGGCCAACATATCCTTGTAGAATTCATGTCCTTTAAAGAACATGAAAAATTAAGTTAATGAGGATTTATTAAACGTAAGGCAAAGAAACAAAACAAAATAAATATTAGTCGGATATAGAAAACGTTCTCCGTATCGAAATCTAGTGATTGAATTTTTAATGCCAGACATAAACAATCATGGCTCACTATCGATTCCTTTCCTTTATTTTCTGTGAATTGCCAGAGCTTCTTGGGAAAGTTAGTGCAGCGGTTTACCGTTTCTTTCTACACGGTTTTGAAGTCGGATTTTGGCTGCCGCCCAAGACTAGAGAGGTCAGCCTACCAAACTGTTTAATCTAAGCCTTGATGAGAAGCGATTTCATGCTTTTTCCTAGGACAGTTGTTTGAAAGTGAACGCATCTGTTAGGCTGGAATTTGAACCCAAATCGCCGGCTCCATTTTTAAACCGTTATGCCACCCGTAATCTGAATACACAGCAGAAAACACGATGTAATGAACCTAAAATGCATGCATGCCTATAATAAATCATACTTGGAACATTTCTGTTGTGTAGTGGTTAACAAGCTAGCTTCCCTGATGTTCATTATTGTAGGAAGATCAGTGCCACACACTTGTAACTTTGTGCCATACTAAACTAACTTTATTCCGGATACGAAACTGATTAGATATGAGCTTGCGAGAAAAATAATTAGCGTGAAATTATTCCTTAAATAGAAAAAAAAAAACTTTACTTATTATGAAGTCCTTCGTGGCCGAACGGTAAAGCATATTGGCTCAAACATTAGTTTCCCCTAAAAAGGAAAACGCAGGTTCTATCCCCGTCAGCAAACACATCTTCTTTACTTGTCGAATGCGTAGACCGATAAACATAATATACACTGTTTAATAAATAAAAATTATATATATATATTTATATATTCAAGCAAGTTTGGTTGAATAATGTAGACATATTATATCTATTTATTTTTAATTTAATCGTTTCAAATTCACGGATCAATTTCTTAATTTTGACATTAAATTCATAAGGGAAGTCGCCGTAGTTTTTCTCATTTCTTTCATTTTACCAAGTACTTTCAATCTCAATGTGAAGATCATCTTCACATTGTAACCTCAAAATAAGCAGTCACCAAATATTAAATCTTCACTTACTTGCATTATGGTCTGTTTCTCCTTTAATTTCTTACTACAGCTGCACGGGATGGCGTACACACAATTCTTAGTCATGTTCACCTCTATGGGTGTGGGGTCTTACTCGGAAGAGGTTCCTGCGAAATGTTGAACCACTTTTGAAGGTGGTCCTGATGTTATATGGAGTACGGATTTTTTGTATTTTTTCTGATAATTCCTTCACATACGGTAGGCAGACCGAAGCTATTTTCTGAATGTTGTTAACCTCTTGTACCCTTCTTTCCTACTTTGTCGGAGCTACTGCCATATACCCAGGGTAGTTGTCACGTTATAGGGTACTGCTTATACTGACCATTTCCTGTTTATATATCTCTGGGTGAGAACTTTATAACTTTTGCTCGATGTTGCAAGCAGCGGACGATTGCTTTCTTTACACTGTATGGGTGGTGGCAGTTGAAGTTGAGGTATTGTTCGGTGAATGTTGGCTTGCGGTATACGGATGTCTTGACCTTATGCTCCGTTCACAATATTATTACATTCAGGAATGCGAGTTTGTTGTTGTTTTCTCTCTTTATTGTGAAGTGTATCGATGATATTATTGAGTTCACATGGTTCAGTAGTAGCCGGAGTATGAAGGTATCATCTACGTATCTAGGCCATAGGGTTGGCCTTAGTGATGTGGATTCGAATGACATTGCTAAGCGTTCATCCCCTCGATATATACTTTCCTTTTTATTACTTTCCATCCAATTTACGGCACTTACCAATCTTACTAACTCCTGGTATTCGCGTGCGGCTAAAAGACCTGGATTTAAAGAACTCATTCTTGGAAAGAAAAAAGTGTTCATATAGATAGACACAACACATGTTTTGGAAACTATTTTTGTTTTACAG